TTTCCAATTGATTTCTTCTTAATAAATGCTATTAATCTAGGATATTTTTAAATACATACGTTCTTTTTCACAGCCAAAGTGGTTTTAAGCAAGGAATAGAAGCATAGCACCAAAGTGAAGATGTTCCAGTTCCAAAAGTCCAGTCTTTTTTTTGGGTGTTGTGTTCCTGTTCATAACTTCCCGTGGACTTTTCTGAATGTAAATCCTCTCTTGTTTCTTTCACTATTTCTGATATTTCCGCTCCAGAATCGCTCGAATCCAATTTTTTTTTTTAAATTAAGCACAATAGACAATAGACAGTAATCAATAAACAAACACCGAAACAACGAAAAAATGTAACAATTAGTAAAAGTTTTACAAGGTAAGATGATTTTTTTATTGTTAATCACAGAGTGATAGTCGTCATCCAATAAAAAAAACAGGCTATATCAAGTACAAAATTTTTCTGTATTTTGGCGCTATAAGGCTGTTCATAATATTACTAGTACTAGTGGTCGTTCATCATATCGTTTAATACTTATTTTAGTTTAATATTTCCGACATATTTTTGTCATATGATGAAAGCATTTGTTTATTTTTTGTTGGTAACGAAAATATATGCATATTACGCGACATTTGTGGAATATGTTGTATTTTATATCATCCAGGAGGAAACTTGCCAGGAAAATTTCGTTACAAGAGCTCCAGGTGTCCCGGCTACCGAATTGCACCCCGTAATCGAATAACGACCCGCCAGGATTTTGATAAAAATTTAATGCAATTAGGAGGAAAAGGTGTTTCATAATTTTAAACAATAGGAGAGTAAACATGCCGTCCTTATCTCGACCCTCGTTATTCATAATTTAATTATACTTCTTCTGGGAATTAATACAACAATAGCGTTCTTGAGTGTACATCTGCAATTTTCCTGCTGAGAGGAAAGGACTAAATGGAACGAGGTAATGAGTTGGTGGTTTTGTTCTTCTACGTTGGAGTAGACGTAAAATAGTAAAAGAATGTATTTCAAAGTAAATAATAATTGTGTTGGTTATTATTCGAGGTGAAATTGCTGCATTAAAATGGGGATACTTTTATGATTATTTACGTTTCACTAATTATAAGATACATTACCACGAACTGTTGTAGAAGAATTTATAAACAGAACATCTATTGACGTGTTTGGTAATCCATTAATAAAGTTTACCAGATCCACCAGAAAGACATACTTTTCTTGATATCAATACATTTGTTGGTCTTGGTTCTTAGAAAGTTAATTATACTTAACAATAATTGTACTATTTACCCAACTACATGCCACACACCATTTTTTTTTCTAAGTAATTATGTCTTTATTGTTATTTATGATAAAAATTATACATATTCCTTTTTTTAGGCAAACATATGTAATTAGGTTTCTTGTAACATGTTTGTCTCTAATACAAAATATAAAAATTAGTGAATATTATTCAGTAACAATCTAAAACTTTTAGAAGAAAAGCTTGAGCCATCCAAATTTGTTTAACCTAACGCTACACAGCTGCTGTATACCACGTGTGCACGCGGCAGACTTGTCCTACGGAAAAAATGTAAACAACTATTATTGTGAAACATTTAGTAAATTTCAAGACAATTGTTTTCCGGTTTTTAAATAAATAAAATAAAATCGTATCGATTTTGTAGTACGAAGATAGTATTGTGCTTAAATTTTAGCTCGAATTTTAGTAATTATGAATCTCTTAAAACAAAAACTTAACTTTTAATCAAATTATGATTTTGAAAATATGTAATTAAAGTACCCAAAGATTCACGTTGTCCAAAGAATCATACGTATTAAAAATAATTTAGGAACTTACCAAAAAGCAAAATTCAAATCATTTTTAAACGTACAAAACAAACTACAAGATATGCTCAAAATGTCCACCACCATTTTCTATGCACGTACGACACCTTCGAATCCAATATTCGCGCACTCGCTGGAAAAACACCTCAAGAAAAGGAAATAGTGGTACGCAAAAAACACTCAGACACGGTTCAATTCCAGATACCAACTGAATTGCGTATTGCTTTTGACAACTTAGTACCTCGTGTTATCTGCCGCGCCGTTGTCACATTGCTCGATATGAACTTTATCGAATTTTAAATTTATTGCAACGCTAATTATTTTTTAGAATTAAGCATAAAGAAGTTTAAAAAAGTGACAAACATTGTATTTTATGGTATTCTATGTACCCAGTTATGTCAGTATTCCTTAATTAATCGAACTTTTGTATATCGAGTTGGAAATTTTGATAATTTTTTTTTTCGGAGATGGTCGAGTTTAGGAGCCATGTCATATAAGGTTTTTTTGCTTATTTTAATGTATTCTATCGTCTGTTAAAATTAAGGCAGTCAAACTAACACCCTGTATTTGGAGGCGAGTGGTTCAGTTAAAGATGTTCATTTACCAAATAATAGTTACCTTGGGACACTTTGTTTTATTATAAAGTAACCCATTATTTCAATTTTGTATACATATACAGGGTGTCCATGATATGGCTGGCAATCTCTTGGATACGGATAGTACTTGCAAAAATAAAGTCACGAGTCTATTTTTACTCTATTCGGGCTCACCCTATAGAGTTGAAAGTTAAAAGTCTTTTTCTTTTTCACTAAATTTGAATAGTTTTTGGGTGAACGTTATGTTATTTGATGCTATTAGTACTAATTTATTCAATTTGCTGATGACTTATACTAAGTATAGGCTTACTTTTTGAATTTTTATCGTCGTTTTTAATATTCCCACACTTTTCAAGCGAAGAGATAATAAATACATGAAAACAATTGATTAGTTGTTGTTTATGTTGCTGCATACAAAACAAATTGTTAGTTCCAGGATTTTGTTACTATTAACCCTCAAAGGTCACACTAGTGCGAATTCGCACCACCGTTTTTTTATTAGTTGGCATTTCTCAGGTAGCAGTTGCCGAAGCTTCCCCCACCACGATAATTCCTTTTATAGCCCAAACAGTCGAGCCGTACCACAACTGGCCTCAATCTGTTATTGTCGGTCAAACTACAGAGTTTGGAAAGTCCAATCGGTGTGACTTTAGTGTGAGCAAAACTGTGGCTGAATTTATATCACATAATCTAGAAATAAAGTGAATTGAAATGCAAATTTCCGAATTTTTTCACCTCATTTGACGTATTGAATAGACTAGAACATTGTTTATTTAGTTACTGTTAATAATTTTTCAAACTTTTTTACCATTAATAGTTTAATTGTAATATTTATGGATAATATTGTGTAAATTAATATTTTCATACAAAAGAGTGCAAAATAAACACGAATTTACAGAAAATGAGCCAAAAATCACAATTCCTCTATATCCGAGGTACCGGGAAAAATCGATAACATCATTTTATGGAACACCCTGTACAAGTGATCCAAAATGTCATAAAAATTAAGACCTTCCTTTTAATAGTTGGATTTGTTTTGATAAACGAGCTTGTGAACGTGCTATCATTTTTATTTTCAATCTGTAGCAGTTTCTGAGGTACACCGACTTAAACCATTTACAATATGACTCACCCTGTACACAGAATGTTCAGGGCTTCCTGTACGGTCGGAACGAACAACTACAGCGGTAAAAAAACCCTCCAGTCGATTTCGAAATCATAAATTCGTATAAGGCGTAACATCTGGGAAGCATATTTGTCGCTTCTCCGTGTACCTCCTACAGTTCAACATCCAGCTTCCAAGCACCACATTCGGGGTATTTCACCATATTTGCCGGGCTGCCGACAAGGTCATACTGTTTTTATTGCTCCAATCAAGTACGCAGAGCGGATAGGAGTAGACGTTACGGCCTGTCTTGGCCGAAATGATAAAATAAACCGTTGGGCGAATGAAATATTATCTATAGAAACGTGTACTTTGTGAAATATCGATAAAAAAGTCTGAAATAATGAAAGAGACATCACTAACGTCTTCCTTACTCGATATTCATTCGTACAGGGTGGATCGAACAAACCTAATAATTAAGGAAACTGTTTTTTTTTTATTTATTCAACAAAATGTTTATAGAATGACATCTACCGGGCCCCATTAATTTTTGAGACCTGTATCAATTAATATATTTTCTATAGAGAAATATCTTAATATAATTATTATGTGAAGAAGGTTATAATAATACTGTGTTCAATTGAAGTGAAACAAACTGTATAGTTGTTACGATTTCAATTGGAACCGCATAAAAACATTTAACTCATAAATTCCACGGAATCCTTAGACGTCCAGAAAAATTTAACCCTGTCTCGTCTAGATATACTATATTCCGAGCTATACAGGGTGGTCCGAATTTTATGCAGGAAACTTCGAGGGTAGATAGATCTCTTTAAAATAATATGTGTTCGCCTTGTCACACCAGAAACGGGGCGTTGTTCGTGGGTTCAGTGAGGGGTGACAAGTTCGTTCATAAACAGACAAAAAAAAATAAATGCGTTATAAGTTTCACCAAATAAATTTATTATGGGTCCCCGACTAGCAGTGAATTCGAGGGGAGTGCGGAACACACCCTAGTGTGCGATTTTGTCGAATTCTATTACTAGATCAGATTAGATCACCCTACAGAGTTCTTCTCTGGTCTATGGTTCAATGCTAAGGTAGGTTAACTACACAACTATGTACAGGTTATGGTTACTATCTATGGTCAAGTTATGCAAGTAAATAGTAATACAAAAAAAATATATATATATGATGGTATACTGGTGGGTAGTCTGCACAAATAGAGATGACACCCGCGCCTTGAGGTACCTAGGTATACCTGGGTTTACAGGTATTTATTACAATATCAATTATGCAAAATGCAAAGCAGTTCAATTCATGCAAACTAATTCTACAGATGAAATACAAAATGCAGTAATATACCAGTATAATAAATGTACGTTACCCTACAGCAAAAGCGCAGATCGAGTGAATTTAGTAATACTTTCAGGTTACATAAAAGAAACAAAGAGTTAAAAGTATGTGGCAGTGCCCCTACAACTACGTTGCCTGGCAGTCAACTCGGACGAGTGACTGTACGAAATTCCTTCGATGCCTAGTCCCCAGTCCTGAGGTGGTACCAGGAAGCAGGGAATGTCTGGATGTTGTACTCCACCGTGTATACAAGGAAACGGAGAAGGTCCCTAACCATATGTGTATATGGGCTTTGGCTCGTACAAGGATGGTGCCAAGTACAGGTGTTATGTACTTCCCGAGGTTCTGTACGTTGTAGAGAAGTGCACAACGTAACAGTTTAGTAACGTGAAACTTTCTGACGTAAAAGTATTTGGCCTAAAAGGAGGAGGAACGGATAAGTTAACGTATAAGAGCGCAGCACTTGCAATCTTGCAGAAATAGTTTAGATTTAAAGTAAATGATGAGATGTATGTGATATTAGAGAAATTTGAGCTTACCAAGTGATGGTGTGTGGCCAACGAAGTGATCTTTCCGGGAGGAGGTTGACGATAACTATTGCACTAGCACTTTGCAGAATCCAGAAGCTACTGTATGCAATACTTAATTGACTTTATTACAAAAGTTATAGTGCAGAAATCGTGAGTGTAAATCAGCAAAATAGCTTTTAAACGGCTTCAAACTGCCAAATCAAAATGGTGCCTCTTCACACAGAATTACTACCCAAAAAACTCATAAATTCTTCAAAACCCGCGAATTTTTGGGCCAATGGAGGGGAGATGACTGTTTAGGGATTTTCTAAATCTAAATGGTTTTAAATTAGCTATCTCTCTCTGGTGTATATAAGGTTAGATAGGTATAACCACAGACAAAATATTTGGATAAAGATGACAGAAATAAATTGGGGTTATGTTTATACCTGGAAAATGTATCAACAAGAGAAGTTTGTTGTACCGATTATTAAATTGCAAGTGACTCATATGCTGTTACTCTTATACTGGGACATTCTAAGATGCACTCCATCTCTGCGGAGCTTAAACGGATAAGGTTATGGACGGACATTATGGACAATGTTCGGAGGCTACAAAGGTAAGTTTTTGGAAGGTTATTTAATACTTAATTAATATTAATATTGTTTGCAGGCTGGGGG